CTATCTAGTTGAATGTACCTTGTCTGAAGTCTTTCTCTACAGGCTTGATAATTACTAGTCATTCAGTAGATTTGTTACATTCGACGGCATTTCGCCTGCATCGTCTTTAAATTTTTAGCACCAAGCTATAACTCATCAAGGAGACTAGTATACTATGACACAATCCCACCATGTACTATAGGATCTAACCATGAAGGCCAATAGCATGCTTAATTATATGCATATGGACGGAGAAATTCACAGACGGACGATACATTTACTGCACCACCATCGGTAGCCCAAATATTATCGAATATAATCAAAGAAGGAGAGCTGCTAAAGCTGATATTCGACAACATATATGGAGCAACACAAAAAGGCTAAGTTTATATGCTTAAAGCAAAGCGGCAGTCTCATAGGTTCTCCAATTATTTGTTGATATATCTTGTCGGAAGTGTATAAATCGATACATTTGTGATGATGTCCAAATGATCTATCAGAGGACATTTTTAGGAGTCTATTTATTCCTGATTTCTAAGCGTATTTTTACATGATATAGTTTGTTAATTTGTTTCCCGCTATCTTACTAATGGCCTTCATAGATAAATCAAAGCTTTCGAATTAATAGGAGCAAAACGTAATTTTGAAGCATATTAATTCATTTTAACGTGGTTGAGTTTATCTTACTTTTATAACTCCTGAATATAGTTGTCTAAAGCTATGCTCATATTTAGCTGACAATGAATTTTGATAGGATATTAAAAATAGAACGACATGAAATTGAATCACAGAAACTAAATTCAAGTCTTGCACGTTCAATCTGAAAGTTACAGCATCTGTTTTATCTCAATTGAATTATTCCACATACGTCTGTTAGCCAGGAATATGCGCTTAAGCATTTGGAAGGAAGGTGAGAAATGTTTTGGATGAATGACAGGAAAATAAGTTTGAGGCACTTTTTATTCTCTATATATTTTTCTCGCACATATCCTGCGCAAGATTAATGGTCAGGATTCAGCTGGTCGCACTGCGCTCCATCATGCCTGTCGGCTCCAGCGAGTTCATTTGACTTGCTTGTTGCTGCGTCGTAAAGCCAATCAGAATCTGGTCGACCTGGACGGGCGCAGCCCGCTTGATGAAGCCATTGACCTGGCCAATGCTGATATTGTCACCTTGCTTCGTCTCCAGAGACTACATGATGATGATAAGGCAAGTCCTGCTTCGAATTAATAAGGAGCTCATGAAAAATGTTTATTTTTAGGAAGCAAAAAGAAGCTTCGTTTCTTTGATGTTTATCAAATATATCTTGTCTACAACGCTAATAGCGTTTAGTATATGCCTATAATTAATTTTGTAATAGGCCCCTAAAATAATGTAACCTATTTTTACCATTTATTTATAGATTCCTTCGTGATAATGTCTTTCAGTAATGAGCTGTAGATAAATTATGCTTCTGTCCGTCATAAAAAGATATTCAATGATTTTTAAAAAGCTGCTTATTCTGAACTTCCTAATATCGCATATGAAGACGATTCATATGTTTATATTTGTCTTGCTACATATGGTGAATTACTTTGGCTTGGGGAAGAATTGGAATTGTAACTAATTTAAGCTTTTATAGCAATTGTTCGTGCTTTTTTATCTACGATCGATACAGATCGATTGAAAGGAACGCAATTAATCGGTTTTTTGCCTGCGTTTTATTGCTCATTCGCCAAAAGCAGATAGAATTATATATGCTGACATTATGTACGTTAGGATAATGCAAAGAAATCGCTAAAGCATTGCAAACGCACGAAAACTTGTGCAAGCATTGCACGCCATGGCTCTTTATGATGTAATCACACAAATTTTTAACTGATGTAATATAATTAGACTACATATTTTGAGTTTTATTTTGGGGCAAGATTACCTTAAGCACTAATGAAAATTGCTTAATCCTTTTCAGTAAAAAATTTTATTATGTTAAGATAACTTTAAATGGTAACAGCTGCTTGTATGGATTTTAGAACATTTAGATGCTACC